ATCTGCTGTCACCAGAGTGTCAAACATCTGCTGTCACCAGAGTGTCAAACATCTGCTGTCACCAGAGTGTCAAACATCTACTGACTGTCACCAGAGTGTCAAACATCAACTGACTGTCACCATAGTGTCAAACATCTACTGACTGTCACCAGAGTGTCAAACATCTGCTGTCACCAGAGTGTCAAACATCTACTGTCACCAGAGTGTCAAACATCTACTGACTGTTACCAGAGTGTCAAACATCAACTGACTGTCACCATAGTGTCAAACATCTGCTGTCACCAGAGTGTCAAACATCTACTGACTGTCACCAGAGTGTCAAACATCTACTGTCACCAGAGTGTCAAACATCTACTGTCACCAGAGTGTCAAACATCTACTGACTGTCACCAGAGTGTCAAACATCTACTGACTGTCACCAGAGTGTCAAACATCTACTGTCACCAGAGTGTCAAACATCTACTGACTGTCACCAGAGTGTCAAACATCTACTGTCACCAGAGTGTCAAACATCTACTGTCACCAGAGTGTCAAACATCTACTGTCACCAGAGTGTCAAACATCTACTGACTGTCACCAGAGTGTCAAACATCTACTGACTATCACCAGAGTGTCAAACATCTGCTGTCATCAGAGTGTCAAACATCTACTGACTGTCACCAGAGTGTCAAACATCTACTGTCACCAGAGTGTCAAACATCTACTGACTGTCACCAGAGTGTCAAATATCTACTGTCACCAGAGTGTCAAACATCTACTGTCACCAGAGTGTCAAACATCTACTGTCACCAGAGTGTCAAACATCTACTGACTGTCACCAGAGTGTCAAACATCTACTGACTATCACCAGAGTGTCAAACATCTGCTGTCATCAGAGTGTCAAACATCTACTGACTGTCACCAGAGTGTCAAACATCTATTGTCACCAGAGTGTCAAACATCTACTGACTGTCACCAGAGTGTCAAACATCTACTGTCACCAGAGTGTCAAACATCTACTGACTGTCACCAGAGTGTCAAACATCTACTGTCACCAGAGTGTCAAACATCTACTGACTGTCACCAGAGTGTCAAACATCTATTGTCACCAGAGTGTCAAACATTTACTGACTGTCACCAGAGTGTCAAACATCTACTGTCACCAGAATGTCAAACATCTACTGACTGTCACCAGAGTGTCAAACATCTACTGACTGTCACCAGAGTGTCAAACATCAATTGACTGTCACCAGAGTGTCAAACATCTACTGACTGTCACCAGAGTGTCAAACATCTGCTGTCACCAGAGTGTCAAACATCTACTGTCACCAGAGTGTCAAACATCTACTGACTGTTACCAGAGTGTCAAACATCAACTGACTGTCACCAGAGTGTCAAACATCTACTGACTGTCACCATAGTGTCAAACATCTACTGTCACCAGAGTGTCAAACATCAACTGACTGTCACCAGAGTGTCAAACATCTACTGTCACCAGAGTGTCAAACATCTACTGTCACCAGAGTGTCAAACATCTACTGACTGTCACCAGAGTGTCAAACATCTACTGACTATCACCAGAGTGTCAAACATCTGCTGTCACCAGAGTGTCAAACATCTACTGACTGTCACCAGAGTGTCAAACATCTGCTGTCACCAGAGTGTCAAACATCAACTGACTGTCACCAGAGTGTCAAACATCTACTGACTGTCACCAGAGTGTCAAACGTCTGCTGTCACCAGAGTGTCAAACATCTACTGTCACCAGAGTGTCAAACATCAACTGACTGTCACCAGAGTGTCAAACATCTACTGTCACCAGAGTGTCAAACATCTACTGACTGTCACCAGAGTGTCAAACATCTATTGTCACCAGAGTGTCAAACATTTACTGACTGTCACCAGAGTGTCAAACATCTGCTGTCACCAGAGTGTCAAACATCTACTGTCACCAGAGTGTCAAACATCTACTGACTGTCACCAGAGTGTCAAACATCTACTGACTGTCACCAGAGTGTCAAACATCAACTGACTGTCACCATAGTGTCAAACATCTACTGACTGTCTTCAGAGTGTCAAACATCTGCTGTCACCAGTGTCAAACATCTACTGTCACCAGAGTGTCAAACATCTACTGACTGTTACCATAGTGTCAAACATCTACTGACTGTCACCAGAGTGTCAAACATCTACTGACTGTCACCATAGTGTCAAATATCTGCTGTCACCAGAGTGTCAAACATCTACTGACTGTCACCAGAGTGTCAAACATCTACTGTCACCAGAGTGTCAAACATCTACTGACTGTCACCAGAGTGTCAAACATCAACTGACTGTCACCAGAGTGTCAAACATCTGCTGTCACCAGAGTGTCAAACATCTACTGACTGTCACCAGAGTGTCAAACATCTACTGTCACCAGAGTGTCAAACATCTACTGACTGTCACCAGAGTGTCAAACATCTACTGACTGTCACCAGAGTGTCAAACATCTACTGACTATCACCAGAGTGTCAAACATCTGCTGTCACCAGAGTGTCAAACATCAACTGACTGTCACCAGAGTGTCAAACATCAACTGACTGTCACCAGAGTGTCAAACATCTACTGACACCAGAGTGTCAAACATCTACTGACTGTCACCAGAGTGTCAAACATCTACTGACTGTCACCAGAGTGTCAAACATCTACTGACTGTCACCAGAGTGTCAAACATCTACTGACTGTCACCAGAGTGTCAAACATCTACTGTCACCAGAGTGTCAAACATCTGCTGTCACCAGAGTGTCAAACATCTACTGTCACCAGAGTGTCAAACATCTACTGACTGTCACCAGAGTGTCAAACATCTACTGACTGTCACCAGAGTGTCAAACGTCTGCTGTCACCAGAGTGTCAAACATCAACTGACTGTCACCAGAGTGTCAAACATCTACTGACTGTCACCAGAGTGTCAAACATCTACTGACTGTCACCATAGTGTCAAACATCTATTGTCACCAGAGTGTCAAACATTTACTGACTGTCACCAGAGTGTCAAACATCTACTGTCACCAGAGTGTCAAACATCTACTGTCACCAGAGTGTCAAACATCTGCTGTCACCAGAGTGTCAAACATCTACTGTCACCAGAGTGTCAAACATCTGCTGTCACCAGAGTGTCAAACATCAACTGACTGTTACCAGAGTGTCAAACATCTACTGACTGTCACCAGAGTGTCAAACATCTACTGACTATCACCAGAGTGTCAAACATCTGCTGTCACCAGAGTGTCAAACATCTACTGACTGTCACCAGAGTGTCAAACATCTACTGTCACCAGAGTGTCAAACATCTACTGACTGTCACCAGAGTGTCAAACATCTACTGTCACCAGAGTGTCAAACATCTACTGACTGTCACCAGATTTTCAAACATCTACTGTCACCAGAGTGTCAAACATCTACTGTCACCAGAGTGTCAAACATCTGCTGTCACCAGAGTGTCAAACATCTACTGACTGTCACCAGAGTGTTAAACATCTACTGTCACCAGAGTGTCAAACATCTGCTGTCACCATAGTGTCAAACATCTACTGTCACCAGAGTGTCAAACATCAACTGACTGTCACCAGAGTGTCAAACATCTACTGACTGTCACCAGAGTGTCAAACGTCTGCTGTCACCAGAGTGTCAAACATCTACTGTCACCAGAGTGTCAAACATCAACTGACTGTCACCAGAGTGTCAAACATCTACTGTCACCAGAGTGTCTAACATCTACTGACTGTCACCAGAGTGTCAAACATCTGCTGTCACCAGAGTGTCAAACATCTACTGACTGTCACCAGAGTGTCAAACATCTGCTGTCACCAGAGTGTCAAACATCTGCTGTCACCATAGTGTCAAACATCTACTGACTGTCACCAGAGTGTCAAACATCTACTGACTGTCACCAGAGTGTCAAACATCTGCTGTCACCAGAGTGTCAACATCTACTGACTGTCACACATAAGCTCAAGAATAATCCGCTCCTGCATATAACTATGTCCATGTTATAATATACATCCATAATACACACAACTGTATGAATAAAGAGTTACATAGATATTTAATGCACAATCACATGCATTATTATATCTCTCAGTTTGTGTGTAAAGTGGAGACTAGACTAAGTGGTTTGAGAGTTGTATGACATGTGGTTTGAGAGTTGTATGACATGTGGTTTGAGAGTTGTATGACATGTGGTTTGAGAGTTGTATGACATGTGGTTTGAGAGTTATATGACATGTGGTTTGAGAGTTGTATGACATGTGGTTTGAGAGTTATATGACATGTGGTTTGAGAGTTGTATGACATGTGGTTTGAGAGTTATATGACATGTGGTTTGAGAGTTGTATGACATGTGGTTTGAGAGTTGTATGACATGTGGTTTGAGAGTTGTATGACATGTGGTTTGAGAGTTGTATGACATGTGGTTTGAGAGTTGTATGACATGTGGTTTGAGAGTTATATGACATGTGGTTTGAGAGTTGTATGACATGTGGTTTGATAGTTGTATGACATGTGGTTTGAGAGTTGTATGACATGTGGTTTGAGAGTTGTATGACATGTGGTTTGAGAGTTGTATGACATGTGGTTTGAGAGTTGTATGACATGTGGTTTGAGAGTTGTATGACATGTGGTTTGAGAGTTGTATGACATGTGGTTTGAGAGTTGTATGACATGTGGTTTGAGAGTTGTATGACATGTGGTTTGAGAGTTGTATGACATGTGGTTTGAGAGTTGTATGACATGTGGTTTGAGAGTTGCATGACATGTGGTTTGAGAGTTGTATGACATGTGGTTTGAGAGTTGTATGACATGTGGTTTGAGAGTTGTATGACATGTGGTTTGAGAGTTGTATGACATGTGGTTTGAGAGTTGTATGACATGTGGTTTGAGAGTTGTATGACATGTGGTTTGAGAGTTGTATGACATGTGGTTTGAGAGTTGTATGACATGTGGTTTGAGAGTTGTATGACATGTGGTTTGGTACTTACACTGGATGATGCCAAGCTGATTTTGTCATTTTCTGAAGGAGCTTTTGTTGTGTTTGAACTTTGCTTTGAGCCTTTCTGTATTGAAGAGAAGTAAAATTGGGTGGGGAGGGGAGGAACAACCTTAGTTCATCCAGCTTTGATTGCACTTTTAGGGCACTGATACTGTTATGTTATACATGGTACAGGTTGGTGGTGGTGGTGCAGGTTGGTGGTGGTACAGGTTGGTGGTGGTGCAGGTTGGTGGTGGTGCAGGTTGGTGGTGGTGCAGGTTGGTGGTGGTGGTGGTGCAGGTTGGTGTTGGTGCAGGCTGGTGGTACAGGTTGGTGCAGGTTGGTGGTGGTGCAGGTTGGTGGTGGTGCAGGTTGGTGGTGGTGCAGGTTGGTGGTGGTGAAGGTTGGTGGTACAGGTTGGTGGTGGTGCAGGTTGGTGTTACAGGTTGGTGCAGGTTCAGGTTGGTGGTGGTGGTGCAGGTTGGTGGTGGTGCAGGTTGGTGGTGGTGGTGCAGGTTGGTGGTGGTGAAGGTTGGTGAAGGTTGGTGGTGGTGGTGCAGGTTGGTGGTGGTACAGGTTGGTGGTGGTGCAGGTTGGTGATGGTACAGGTTGGTGGTGGTGGTGCAGGTTGGTGGTGGTGAAGGTTGGTGAAGGTTGGTGGTGGTGGTGCAGGTTGGTGGTGGTACAGGTTGGTGGTGGTGCAGGTTGGTGGTGACGAAGGTTGGTGGTGGTACAGGTTGGTGGTGGTGCAGGTTGGTGGTGGTGCAGGTTGGTGGTGGTGGTACAGGTTGGTGGTGGTGCAGGTTGGTGGTGGTGCAGGTTGGTGGTGGTACAGGTTGGTGGTGGTGCTGGTTGGTGGTGGTGCAGGTTGGTGGTGGTGCAGGTTGGTGGTGGTGTAGGTTGGTGGTGGTGAAGGTTGGTGGTGGTGGTGCAGGTTGGTGGTGGTGCAGGTTGGTGGTGGTGCAGGTTGGTGGTACAGGTTGGTGGTGGTGCAGGTTGGTGGTACAGGTTGGTGCAGGTTGGTGGTGGTGCAGGTTGGTGGTGGTGCAGGTTGGTGGTACAGGTTGGTGGTGGTACAGATTGGTGGTGGTGGTGCAGGTTGGTGGTGGTGCAGGTTGGTGGTGGTGCAGGTTGGTGGTATAGGTTGGTGGTGGTGCAGGTTGGTGGTACAGGTTGGTGCAGGTTGGTGGTGGTGCAGGTTGGTGGTGGTGCTGGTTGCTGGTGGTGCAGGTTGGTGGTGGTGGTACAGGTTGGTGGTGGTGCAGGTTGGTGGTGGTGCAGGTTGGTGGTACAGGTTGGTGCAGGTTGGTGGTGGTACAGGTTGGTGGTGGTGCAGGTTGGTGGTGGTGCAGGTTGGTGGTGGTGCAGGTTGGTGGTGGTGCAGGTTGGTGGTACAGGTTGGTGGTGGTGGTACAGGTTGGTGGTGGTGCTGGTTGGTGGTGGTGCAGGTTGGTGGTGGTGGTACAGGTTGGTGGTGGTGCAGGTTGGTGGTGGTGCAGGTTGGTGGTGGTGGTACAGGTTGGTGGTGGTGGTACAGGTTGGTGGTGGTGCTGGTTGGTGGTGGTGCAGGTTGGTGGTGGTGGTACAGGTTGGTGGTGGTGGTACAGGTTGGTGGTGGTGCAGGTTGGTGGTGGTGCAGGTTGGTGGTACAGGTTGGTGCAGGTTGGTGGTGGTACAGGTTGGTGGTGGTGCAGGTTGCTGGTGGTGCAGGTTGGTGGTGGTGGTACAGGTTGGTGGTGGTGCAGGTTGGTGGTGGTGCAGGTTGGTGGTGGTGGTACAGGTTGGTGGTGGTGGTACAGGTTGGTGGTGGTGCTGGTTGGTGGTGGTGCAGGTTGGTGGTGGTGGTGCAGGTTGGTGGTGGTGCAGGTTGGTGGTGGTGGTGCAGGTTGGTGGTGGTGCAGGTTGGTGGTGGTGGTGCAGGTTGGTGGTGGTGCAGGTTGTTGGTGGTGGTGCAGGTTGGTGGTGGTGCAGGTTGGTGGTGGTGGTGCAGGTTGGTGGTGGTGGTGCAGGTTGGTGGTGGTTGTGCAGGTTGGTGTTGGTGGTGCAGGTAGGTGGTGGTGGTGCAGGTTGGTGGTGGTGAAGGTTGGTGGTGGTGCTGGTTGGTGGTGGTGCAGGTAGGTGGTGGTGCAGGTTAATGGTGGTGCAGGTTGGTGGTGGTGGTGCAGGTTGGTGGTGGTTGTGCAGGTTGGTGGTGGTGGTGCAGGTAGGTGGTGGTGGTGCAGGTTGGTGGTGGTGCAGGTTGGTGGTGGTGGTGCAGGTTGGTGGTGGTTGTGCAGGTTGGTGGTGGTGGTGCAGGTTGGTGGTGGTGGTGCAGGTAGGTGGTGGTGGTGCAGGTTGGTGGTGGTGCAGGTTGGTGGTGGTGGTGCAGGTTGGTGGTGGTTGTGCAGGTTGGTGGTGGTGGTGCAGGTAGGTGGTGGTGGTGCAGGTTGGTGGTGGTGCAGGTTGGTGGTGGTGCTGGTTGGTGGTGGTGCAGGTAGGTGGTGGTGCAGGTTAATGGTGGTGCAGGTTGGTGGTGGTGGTGCAGGTTGGTGGTGGTGGTGCAGGTTGGTGGTGGTGCAGGTTGGTAGTACAGGTTGGTGGTGGTGCAGGTTGGTGGTATAGGTTGGTGCAGGTTGGTGGTGGTGCAGGTTGGTGGTGGTGTGTGGTGGTGTAGGTTGGTGGTGGTGCAGGTTAGTGGTGGTACAGGTTGGTCCAGGTTGGTGGTGCAGGTTGGTGGTGGTGCAGGTTGGTGGTGGTGGTGCAGGTTGGTGGTGGTGCAGGTTGGTGGTGGTGGTGAAGGTTGGTGGTGGTGGTGCAGGTTGGTGGTGGTGCAGGTTGGTGGTGGTGGTCTCAGGTTGGTGGTGGTGCAGGTTGGTGGTGGTGGTGCAGGTTGGTGGTGGTGTGTGGTGGTGTAGGTTGGTGGTGGTGCAGGTTGGTGGTGGTACAGGTTGGTGGTGGTGAAGGTTGGTGGTGCAGGTTGGTGGTGGTGGTGCAGGTTGGTGGTGGTGGTGCAGGTTGGTGGTGGTGTGTGGTGGTGCAGGTTGGTGGTGGTGTGTGGTGGTGCAGGTTGGTGGTGGTGGTGCAGGTTGGTGGTGGTGTGTGGTGGTGCAGGTTGGTGGTACAGGTTGGTGGTGGTGTAGGTTGGTGGTGCAGGTTGGTGGTGGTGAAGGTTGGTGGTGGTGCAGGTTGGTGGTGGTGCTGGTTGGTGGTACAGGTTGGTGGTGGTGGTGCAGGTTGGTGGTGGTGGTGCAGGTTGGTTGTGGTAAGTGGTGGTGCAGGTTGGTGGTGGTGGTGCAGGTTGGTGGTGGTGTGTGGTGGTGCAGGTTGGTGGTGGTGGTACAGGTTGGTGGTGGTGGTGCAGGTTGGTGGTGGTGTGTGGTGGTGCAGGTTGGTGGTGGTGTGTGGTGGTGCAGGTTGGTAGTGGTGGTGCAGGTTGGTGGTGGTGCAGGTTGGTGGTGGTTGTGCAGGTTGGTGGTGGTGTGTGGTGGTGCAGGTTGGTGGTGGTACAGGTTGGTGGTGGTACAGGTTGGTGGTGGTGGTGCAGGTTGGTGGTACAGGTTGGTGCAGGTTGGTGGTGGTGGTGCAGGTTGGTGGTGGTACAGGATGGTGGTGGTGCAGGTTGGTGGTACAGGTTGGTGCAGGTTGGTGGTGGTGAAGGTTGGTGGTGGTGGTGCAGGTTGGTGGTGGTGGTGCAGGTTGGTCGTGGTGAAGGTTGGTGGTACAGGTTGGTGCAGGTTGGTGGTGGTGAAGGTTGGTGGTAGTGCAGGTTGGTGGTGGTGAAGGTTGGTGAAGGTTGGTGGTGGTGAAGGTTGGTGCAGGTTGGTGGTGGTGAAGGTTGGTGGTGGTGCAGGTTGGTGGTACAGGTTGGTGCAGGTTGGTGGTGGTGAAGGTTGGTGGTGGTGCAGGTTGGTGGTGGTTTAGGTTGGTGGTGGTGAAGGTTGGTGGTGGTGGTGCAGGTTGGTGGTGGTGCATACAACCGTCTACCCTGAGCTTGCACAGTCTGATTTAGATCTTGAATCAGGAAGTAATTTTCTTCCTCACAGTTCCACTGACTGACAGATCCACTGTCAGACATGTCTACTCACTGTCACTGACAGATCTACTGACACTTTCAGGTCAACTGAAACTTACAGATCCACTGACTGTTGGCTTGTCAGTACCGTTGATTGCACTAGCCTGGCTGCTCTCCTTCTGCTCCCTGCCGTATTCTTTCATCAGTTCTAGAACATTGCCATGTTCTTTTTTCTTGCCCTGGGAACATTTGCCTTGGCATTCACTTAGTGCCACACATAGCCCCACACATAGCCCCACACATAGCCCCACACATAGCCCCACACATAGCCCCACACATAGTCCCACACATTCACTTAGTCCCACACATAGCCCCACACATAGCCCCACACATAGTCCCACACATTCATTTAGCCCCACACATAGCCCCACACATAGTCCCACACATTCATTTAGCCCCACACATAGCCCCACACATTCACTTAGTCCCACATAGTCCCACACATTCACTAAGTCCCACACATAGCCCCACACATAGTCCCACACATAGCCCCACACATTCACTAAGTCCCACACATAGCCCCACACAGAGCCCCACACATAGCCCCACACATAGCCCCACACATTCACTTAGTCCCACACATAGTCCCACACATAGCCCCACACATTCACTTAGCCCCACACATAGTCCCACACATTCACTTAGTCCCACACATAGTCCCACACATAGCCCCACACATAGCCCCACACATAGTCCCACACATAGCCCCACACATAGCCCCACACATTCACTTAGCCCCACACATAGTCCCACACATAGCCCCACACATTCATTTAGCCCCACACATTCACTTAGTCCCACACATAGCCCCACACATAGTCCCACACATTCATTTAGCCCCACACATAGTCCCACACATAGCCCCACACGTAGCCCCACACTTAGTCCCACACATTCACTTAGTCCCACACATAGCCCCACACATAGCCCCACACATTCACTTAGCCCCACACATAGTCCCACACATAGCCCCACACATTCATTTAGCCCCACACATAGCCCCACACATTCACTTAGTCCCACACATAGCCCCACACATAGTCCCACACATTCATTTAGCCCCACACATAGCCCCACACATAGTCCCACACATAGCCCCACACATAGTCCCACACATTCACTTAGTCCCACACATAGCCCCACACATAGTCCCACACATTCATTTAGCCCCACACATAGTCCCACACGTAGCCCCACACTTAGTCCCACACATTCACTTAGTCCCACACATAGCCCCACACATAGCCCCACACGTAGCCCCACACATAGCCCCACACATTCACTTAGTCCCACACATAGCCCCACACATAGTCCCACACATTCACTTAGCCCCACACATAGCCCCACACATTCACTTAGCCCCACACATAGCCCCACACATAGTCCCACACATAGCCCCACACTTAGTCCCACACATAGCCCCACACATAGTCCCACACATAGTCCCACACATAGTCCCACACATAGCCCCACACATAGTCCCACACATAGCCCCACACATAGCCCCACACATAGCCCCACACATAGCCCCACACATAGCCCCACACATAGTCCCACACATAGTCCCACACATAGCCCCACACATAGCCCCACACATAGCCCCACACATAGCCCCACACATAGTCCCACACATAACCCCACACATAGCCCCACACATAGCCTCACACATAGCCCCACACATAGCCCCACACATAGTCCCACACATAGCCCCACACATAGCCTCACACAATCACTTTGTCCCACACATAGCCCCACACATTCATTTAGCCCCACACATTCATTTAGCCCCACACATAGCCCCACACTTAGTCCCACACATAGCCCCACACATTCATTTAGCCCCACACATAGTCCCACACATTCACTTAGTCCCACAGATAGCCCCACACATTCATTTAGCCCCACACATTTATTTAGCCCCACACATAGCCCCACACATAGTCCCACACATTCATTTAGCCCCACACATAGCCCCACACATTCATTTAGCCCCACACATAGCCCCACACATATTCGCACACATAGTCCCACACATTCATTTAGCCCCACACATAGCCCCACACATTCACTTAGTCCCACACATAGCCCCACACATAGCCCCACACATTCACTTAGTCCCACACATAGCCCCACACATTCACTTAGTCCCACACATAGCCCCACACATAGCCCCACACATTCACTTAGTCCCACACATAGCCCCACACATTCACTTAGTCCCACACATAGCCCCACACATAGCCCCACACATTCACTTAGTCCCACACATAGCCCCACACATAGCCCCACACATTCACTTAGCCCCACACATAGTCCCACACATAGCCCCACACATAGTCCCACACATAGCCCCACACTTAGTCCCACACATAGCCCCACACATAGCCCCACACATAGCCCCACACATAGCCCCACACATAGTCCCACACATAGCCCCACACATAGTCCCACACATAGCCCCACACATAGTCCCACACATAGCCCCACACATAGCCCCACACATAGCCCCACACATAGCCCCACACATAGTCCCACACATTCACTTAGCCCCACACATTCACTTAGCCCCACACTTAGTCCCACACACTGAATCAAACATACTATGAACCACTCATGGTCCCACACAAAGCCCCACACATAGCCCCACACATAGCCCCACACATAGCCCCACACATAGTCCCACACATAGTCCCACACATAGTCCCACACATAGCCCCACACATAGCCCCACACATAGTCCCACACATAGTCCCACACATAGTCCCACACATAGCCCCACACATTCACTTAGCCCCACACATAGTCCCACACATAGCCCCACACTTAGCCCCACACATAGCCCCACACATAGCCCCACACATAGTCCCACACATAGCCCCACACATAGCCCCACACATAGTCCCACACATAGTCCCACACATAGTCCCACACATAGCCCCACACATTCACTTAGCCCCACACTTAGTCCCACACATAGCCCCACACATAGCCCCACACATAGCCCCACACATAGCCCCACACATAGCCTTACACATAGCCCCACACATAGTCCCACACATAGCCCCACACATAGCCCCACACATAGCCCCACACATAGTCCCACACATAGTCCCACACATAGCCCCACACATAGCCCCACACATAGCCCCACACATAGTCCCACACATAGTCCCACACATAGCCCCACACATAGCCCCACACATAGTCCCACACATAGTCCCACACATAGTCCCACACATAGCCCCACACATTCACTTAGCCCCACACTTAGTCCCACACATAGCCCCACACATAGCCCCACACATAGCCCCACACATAGCCCCACACATAGCCTCACACATAGCCCCACACATAGTCCCACACATAGCCCCACACATAGCCCCACACATAGCCCCACACATAGTCCCACACATAGCCCCACACTTAGTCCCACACATAGCCCCACACATAGCCCCACACATAGCCCCACACATAGCCCCACACATAGTCCCACACATAGCCCCACACATAGCCCCACACATAGCCCCACACATAGCCCCACACATAGCCCCACACATACTGTGAACCACTCATGGTTGAGGACTTCACCAGATGACAGACGGTGGGCTGGATCTTTTTTTAGCATGGCCTGCAGAAGGTCCTTGGCTGAAATGACAAGTGTCACAATCTTACACCAAGAAATGACAAGTGTCACAATCTTACACCAAGAAATGACAAGTGTCACAATCTTACACCAAGAAATGACAAGTGTCACAATCTTACACAAAAAAAAATGACAAGTATCGAATGTGTTTAAGTTAGGTCCATGAACTACATGATTTAGACAGGAATGACCACATACCACCAGATTAGAATTTGAGAAATACCACTATTAATAACAAGGCAACTGACACCAGAATGTACAATGACATCTTGATATAAAGAGAGAAAATGATTACCTTGATGGCTGACCCTAACCCTATAGAGAGCAAATGATTACCTTGATGGCTGACCCTAACCCTAACCCTAAATAGAGCAAATGATTACCTTGATGGCTGACCCTAACCCTAACCCTAAAGAGAGCAAATGATTACCTTGATGGCTGACCCTAACCCTAAAGAGAGCAAATGATTACCTTGATGGCTGACCCTAACCCTAGGAGAGCTAATGATTACCTTGATGGCTGACCCTAACCCTAAAGAGAGCAAATGATTACCTTGATGGCTAACCCTAACCCTAGGAGAGCAAATGATTACCTTGATGGCTAACCCTAACCCGAAAGAGAGCAAATGATTACCTTGATGGCTGACCCTAACCCTAACCCTAAAGAGAGCAAATGATTACCTTGATGGCTGACCCTAACCCTAAAGAGAGCAAATGATTACCTTGATGGCTGACCCTAACCCTAACCCTAAAGAGAGCAAATGATTACCTTGATGGCTGACCCTAACCCTAAAGAGAGCAAATGATTACCTTGATGGCTGACCCTAACCCTAACCCTAAAGAGAGCAAATGATTACCTTGATGGCTAACCCTAACCCTAAAGAGAGCAAATGATTACCTTGATGGCTGACCCTAACCCTAAAGAGAGCAAATGATTACCTTGATGGCTGACCCTAAAGAGAGCAAATGATTACCTTGATGGCTGACCCTAACCCTAAAGAGAGCAAATGATTACCTTGATGGCTAACCCTAACCCTAAAGAGAGCAAATGATTACCTTGATGGCTAACCCTAACCCTAAAGAGAGCAAATGATTACCTTGATGGCTAACCCTAACCCTAACCCTAAAGAGAGCAAATGATTACCTTGATGGCTAACCCTAACCCTAAAGAGAGCAAATGATTACCTTGATGGCTAACCCTAACCCTAAAGAGAGCAAATGATTACATTGATGGCTGACCCTAACCCTAAAGAGAGCAAATGATTACCTTGATGGCTGACCCTAACCCTAAAGAGAGCAAATGATTACCTTGATGGCTAACCCTAACCCTAAAGAGAGCAAATGATTACCTTGATGGCTAACCCTAACCCTAAAGAGAGCAAATGATTACCTTGATGGCTGACCCTAACCCTAACCCTAAAGAGAGCAAATGATTACCTTGATGGCTAACCCTAACCCTAAAGAGAGCAAATGATTACCTTGATGGCTGACCCTAACCCTAAAGAGAGCAAATGATTACCTTGATGGCTAACCCTAACCCTAACCCTAAAGAGAGCAAATGATTACCTTGATGGCTGACCCTAACCCTAACCCTAAAGAGAGCAAATGATTACCTTGATGGCTAACCCTAACCCTAACCCTAAAGAGAGCAAATGATTACCTTGATCGCTAACCCTAATCCTAAAGAGAGCAAATGATTACCTTGATGGCTGACCCTAACCCTAAAGAGAGCAAATGATTACCTTGATGGCTAACCCTAACCCTAAAGAGAGCAAATGATTACCTTGATGGCTGACCCTAACCCTAAAGAGAGCAAATAATTACCTTGATGGCTGACCCTAACCCTAACCCTAAAGAGAGCAAATGATTACCTTGATGGCTGACCCTAACCCTAACCCTAAAGAGAGCAAATGATAACCTTGATGGCTGACCCTAACCCTAAAGAGAGCAAATAATTACCTTGATGGCTGACCCTAACCCTAACCCTAAAGAGAGCAAATGATTACCTTGATGGCTGACCCTAACCCTAAAGAGAGCAAATGATTACCTTGATGGCTGACCCTAACCCTAACCCTAAAGAGAGCAAATGATTACCTTGATGGCTGACCCTAACCCTAAAGAGAGCAAATGATTACCTTGATGGTTGACCCTAACCCTAACCCTAAAGAGAGCAAATGATTACCTTGATGGCTAACCCTAACCCTAAAGAGAGCAAATGATTACCTTGATGGCTAACCCTAACCCTAAAGAGAGCAAATGATTACCTTGATGGCTGACCCTAAAGAGAGCAAATGATTACCTTGATGGCTGACCCTAACCCTAAAGAGAGCAAATGATTACCTTGATGGCTAACCCTAACCCTAAAGAGAGCAAATGATTGCCTTGATGGCTAACCCTAACCCTAAAGAGAGCAAATGATTACCTTGATGGCTAACCCTAACCCTAACCCTAAAGAGAGCAAATGATTACCTTGATGGCTAACCCTAACCCTAAAGAGAGCAAATGATTACCTTGATGGCTGACCCTAACTCTAAAGAGAGCAAATGATTACATTGATGGCTGACCCTAACCCTAAAGAGAGCAAATGATTACCTTGATGGCTGACCCTAACCCTAAAGAGAGCAAATGATTACCTTGATGGCTAACCCTAACCCTAAAGAGAGCAAATGATTACCTTGATGGCTGACCCTAACCCTAACCCTAAAGAGAGCAAATGATTACCTTGATGGCTAACCCTAACCCTAAAGAGAGCAAATGATTACCTTGATGGCTGACCCTAACCCTAACCCTAAAGAGAGCAAATGATTACCTTGATGGCTAACCCTAACCCTAACCCTAAAGAGAGCAAATGATTACCTTAATGGCTGACCCTAACCCTAACCCTAAAGAGAGCAAATGATTACCTTGATGGCTAACCCTAACCCTAACCCTAAAGAGAGCAAATGATTACCTTGATGGCTAACCCTAATCCTAAAGAGAGCAAATGATTACCTTGATTGCTGACCCTAACCCTAAAGAGAGCAAATGATTACCTTGATGGCTAACCCTAACCCTAAAGAGAGCAAATGATTACCTTGATGGCTGACCCTAACCCTAAAGAGAGCAAATAATTACCTTGATGGCTGACCCTAACCCTAACCCTAAAGAGAGCAAATGATTACCTTGATGGCTGACCCTAACCCTAACCCTAAAGAGAGCAAATGATAACCTTGATGGCTGACCCTAACCCTAAAGAGAGCAAATAATTACCTTGATGGCTGACCCTAACCCTAAAGAGAGCAAATGATTACCTTGATGGCTAACCCTAACCCTAAAGAGAGCAAATGATTACCTTGATAGCTAACCCTAACCCTAAATAGAGCAAATGATTACCTTGATGGCTGACCCTAACCCTAACCCTAAAGAGAGCAAATAATTACCTTGATGGCTGACCCTAACCCTAAAGAGAGCAAATGATTACCTTGATGGCTGACCCTAACCCTAAAGAGAGCAAATGATTACCTTGATGGCTAACCCTAACCCTAAAGAGAGCAAATGATTACCTTGATGGCTGACCCTAACCCTAACCCTAAAGAGAGCAAATGATTACCTTGATGGCTGACCCTAACCCTAAAGAGAGCAAAAGATTACCTTGATGGCTAACCCTAACCCTAAAGAGAGCAAATGATTACCTTGATGGCTGACCCTAACCCTAAAGAGAGCAAATGATTACCTTGATGGCTAACCCTAACCCTAAAGAGAGCAAATGATTACCTTGATGGCTGACCCTAACCCTAAAGAGAGCAAATGATTACCTTGATGGCTGACCCTAACCCTAAAGAGAGCAAATGATTACCTTGATGGCTAACCCTAACCCTATAGAGAGCAAATGATTACCTTGATGGCTGACCCTAACCCTAACCCTAAAGAGAGCAAATGATTACCTTGATGGCTGACCCTAACCCTAAAGAGAGCAAAAGATTACCTTGATGGCTAACCCTAACCCTAAAGAGAGCAAATGATTACCTTGATGGCTGACCCTAACCCTAAAGAGAGCAAATGATTACCTTGATGGCTAACCCTAACCCTAAAGAGAGCAAATGATTACCTTGATGGCTGACCCTAACCCTAAAGAGAGCAAATGATTACCTTGATGGCTGACCCTAACCCTAAAGAGAGCAAATAATTACCTTGATGGCTGACCCTAACCCTAACCCTAAAGAGAGCAAATGATTACCTTGATGGCTGACCCTAACCCTAACCCTAAAGAGAGCAAATGATTACCTTGATGGCTAACCCTAACCCTAACCCTAAAGAGAGCAAATGATTACCTTGATGGCTGACCCTAACCCTAAAGAGAGCAAATGATTACCTTGATGGCTAACCCTAACCCTAAAGAGAGCAAATGATTACCTTGATGGCTAACCCTAACCCTAAAGAGAGCAAATGATTACCTTGATGGCTGACCCTAACCCTAATCCTAAAGAGAGCAAATAATTACCTTGATGGCTGACCCTAACCCTAAAGAGAGCAAATGATTACCTTGATGGCTGACCCTAACCCTAAAGAGAGCAAATGATTACCTTGATGGCTAACCCTAACCCTAAAGAGAGCAAATGATTACCTTGATGGCTGACCCTAACCCTAACCCTAAAGAGAGCAAATGATTACCTTGATGGCTGACCCTAACCCTAAAGAGAGCAAATGATTACCTTGATGGCTAACCCTAACCCTAAAGAGAGCAAATGATTACCTTGATGGCTGACCCTAACCCTAACCCTAAAGAGAGCAAATAATTACCTTGATGGCTGACCCTAACCCTAAAGAGAGCAAATGATTACCTTGATGGCTGACCCTAACCCTAAAGAGAGCAAATGATTACCTTGATGGCTAACCCTAACCCTAAAGAGAGCAAATGATTACCTTGATGGCTGACCCTAACCCTAACCCTAAAGAGAGCAAATGATTACCTTGATGGCTGACCCTAACCCTAAAGAGAGCAAAAGATTACCTTGATGGCTAAC